AACCCTAGACAAAAATTAAGTTTAATCACACTGGCTCTTGCATAACTGCTTAATGAGACAGATTTCCAGGCTGGTGACGGTTTTCCCGCAGCCACTGATGCTGCCGTAGGCTCTGTCATCAGTTTACTGCTTGTTTCTTTGAAGGCAGTCTTTTTGCTTTGGTTGCATCTAAGATTTTTTTTCTTTTTGATGTTCTGAAAATTTCCAATGATGTGTCTAGCGGTGAATTTTGTTTTTAACTCTGGACTTGGACTTCTTGGAGTTTCATGCGTTTCATGAATTCTGGAAAATCCTCGGTCTTCACTTCTTCAAATACGGCCTCTCTGCCATTCTTGCTACCCTTCCTTCGAAAGCTGTACCAGACGTGCTGGAATTGGCTTAATCTCGGGCCTTAAGTCTCTTCCAGACACTAACTCTCTCCTCAGTGAGTTACTACACTGCTTCACTTGTCTGTTGACTGTTTAAATTTTAATGACCATATTTTTCATGTCTAGACATTTTCATTCTCTTTGGCTCTTTTTCAAACACGACTTGTCGGTTCATAGTTTTTGGGTTAATTTTTAATTTTTAACTGCCATATAATAATTATACATATTTATGGGCATAGTCTTGATATACAGGTCTTAAGGCTGCTTCTTTCTTTTACATCTTTATCAATTTTAACATGCATTTGTTTTCTATTTTCTTTCAGATTTGGGGGATGAAAAGTCTTATTTTCTCTCCCTTCAACTGAAATTTACTCTTTTTAAAAGTTATGGGGCCTGGGCCGGGCACGGTGGCTCACGTCTGTAATCCCAGCACTCTGGGAGGCCGGGGTGGGTGGATCGCTCAAGGTCAGGAGTTCGAGACCAGCCTGAGCAAGAGTGAAACCCCATCTCTACTAAAAATAGAAAGAAATCAGCTGGACAACTAAAAAAATATATAGAAAAAATTAGCCGGGCATGGTGGCGCATGCCTGTAGTCCCAGCTACTTGGGAGGCTGAGGCAGAAGGATCGCTTGAGCCCAGGAGTTTGAGGTTGCTGTGAGCTAGGCTGACGACACGGCACTCTAGCTCGGGCAACAGAGTGAGACTCTGTCTCAAAAAAAAAAAAAAAAAAAAAAACTTGATTAGAAGAAATAAAATATTTTAAAATAAAATAAGCTATTATCAGAAACAAAGTAAGTAAAATAATCTGGTTTCATCATTTTAAAAAAGAAATTAGCCTCTGCTTTTGAGTTAAAAAAAGTCATATCAATCTCAAAGCCTTAGATGTTGGCTGGACTAAGCTCAGTGAGTGATTCCCCTGGAAAACCTCTAGGATCCACCCAAGAAGGGACAAAACTAGCTCTTTACTCAAGAAGCATGTAGTAAACCAGCTGTTTCACTGAGCAGGCTGTTAAGTGCCACTGTTCTAAGCTTTTTCTTTTGGAAGACACAATGTAGAAAACACACGGCTCTACTAGAGGACCCTGAACTTCTCTTACCCTGATCCAATTTTAATTCACTCACATTCCCATATGTTTCCTGCAAGATATGGAATTATTTTCTTGTATTTTCGTACCAAAGAGCATATCATTTATTAATATGTCAGATGCACAACGTTTAAATCCCGACTGTGCCCCCTCACTCTGCCAGCATCCCCCCTGCCAGCACCCTGCAAGACACGAGCTAGCTGCCCCGTCCAGCAGGCAGTGCCGGTCAAGTCCTGCTGCTCTCCTACTCCGAGCCCTTCCAAGTTCCCCATCCCATCAGAGCAAAAGCCGAAGCCCATGCCATGGCCTGGAGGCTTCACTGCCCTCCCACCCAGCCCTTTCCACCAGGGCACCTCACCCGAAGGTCTTCACTGCAGGACTCCCTCTGCCCAGAGGGAGCTCACCTTCCTCTCTGATCCTCTGAGTGAAGTTGCAGGCCCATCCCTACCTGGGGGGACGTCCTACCAGTTTACCTGGCACTATCTATTTGCTTTCGTAGCACTTAATCCTGGAACAGATTAATAAATTTACGTCTTTATTATGCTTAGTGCTTGCTGTCCCGTCTTCTACCTCACACCAGAACATAAGCTTCACAAAGGCAGAGATTTTTGCCTGTTTTTTCCCCACTGATGGACACTTAATAAATATTTGCTAAAGGAATGAATGCTAGACCAGAAAAACCTCTAAAAAATATATGGCATATCACTGCCAGCAAAGGTTTAGGAATTTGCAAATTGTCCGGTCAAATGATTTGCTAAACAAAGCTATTTATTTCCTAAAGGAAAAGCTGTTTTACCCTGAAATCAATCTTCCAAAAAGTTTCTTAGTGAGGAGGTGTTTCCCATTCTTAAATTCTCTGAGACCTACTTGGCAAGGATTCTGGCTGTCCCAATGTCGTAAGAGTTCCATAATAACGGTTTCCTCATTCTGGAGGCTGCCCCATATTGAAACTTGTCCGCCAAACACAGCTAATACACTGTCCAATCCCAGTAGAAAGAGACCAACGCAGTAACATTTTTTCTTTGAGTTGATATGCAAATGACTTCCAAATTGGGAATATGGTCCAATGTCTCATTCAAGTTTTGATTCAAAATTTGATGGGTGTCCTGGGACTCTATGCATTATGCACATGTGGCATGAGTCACTTCTTATCGTCCTAGCAAATCTAAAAGAAAACAACTTATCTGGCCCAAGAGGGTAACTTTCTATAAGAGATAACTCAGACACTGGGAAAACATCAATAATTAACAGCAATGGTTATCTATAAAAACCCTGAATCTGTAATTATCATATTCCTGGTTTGTTCCCCTAAGTAAGATATCTGGAAAAACAAATACTGGAAACTTTCTATTCTACAAACACAGAAACTCACAAAGTTTCCTAAGTGCATATTAGTTAGGTTTGTTCCAGGTGGAAACTGGAAAAGTACGTATGGGAGAGGGAATGTGAAAACGGAGGTTTGTGAAATAGCCGCAGGGGTCTGGAGAGTCGCTGGAGGTTGTAAAATCTAACAGACGGCTGCAGATGCCCGGCATTCCTTTCCCCCCTGATAGGGACGGCACTACCCACCTCCCTTATCTCTACAGGATGAGACTGACCCAGGGGTCCCAGAAATTGGTTGTTTGAAAAAAAATTTTTTACTGCAGTGGCTGTTCTGGCCCAGGTACTCACTCCCCACTAGGAAACCCTCTGTAAAACCCAAGGCTTTCCCCTCCCTCAGTGTGGATGCTCTTTGGCCTCCGCCCATCTGCCCAAAACAAACAGCATTTTGCTGCACATGAGGCTTCATGTCTCTCTCTCTCTCTGCTCCAGACCTAACACATACTATTCAACTAAAGAGACAATATCCCTCTCAAATGTAATTTAAGAATTGATCCAACTTTCTCTCAATCTCAACCCCTTTCACTTAGGTCTAGGAGATAATAACCCTGGTCTCTAACTACTGGAGACTGGGTTTCCTTCTCTGGAGGGACGCCTTTTTGGTCACACCCAAGAGTGGGTGACTAGGGAGCCTTTTCAGAAGCAGAACAGTTTCCAGTTTCTGGCCTAATTTCCAAGGGACTAGGATTAAGTTTAAAATAGTACTGCAAGCAATCAAATTAAGTAAGGGATCCAAATGCAGATTCTAAAGACTTGAGTGAATGAGTATTTTGACTTAATGTTCTCTTCTGCAAATGTGAGAGAAATACATACAAAATTTCAAGTATGACGTATCTAAAATCAAGCTCACTTTAAAACCTGCACAAAAGTTTTCCTAATCAATAGTTCCTAATATCTCACATTATCATCAAAATACGGAGCCTGTAAGACTCCCCTTAAAGTGACCAAAGGGGTATGTGTATGTCTAAAATCTGGTAGCAATACATGCAGACAGCTGAAAGGTACATGAGTTCAAAGCATGGTCCTGTGCCGTGGCTCAAGCCTGTAATCCTAGCACTTCAGGAGGCTGACGCAGGAGGATTGCTTGAGCGAGGCCAGGAGTTCCAGACCAGTCTGAGCAAGAGCAAGACCCCCCCTCTCTACAAAAAGAATGGAAAAATTAGCCAGGATGGTGGCACGTGCCTGTAGTCCCAGCTACTGGGGAGGCAGAGGCAGGAGGATCGCTTGGGCCCAGGAGTTTGAGGTTGCTGTGAGCTATGATGACGCCACTGCACTCTAGCCCGGGTGACAAGAGTGAGACTCTGTCTCGGGGTGGGGGCGAGGGTAAGCAGGGAACAACATAAAAGCCTTTAAATATTGCCGAGAAAGAACCCTCAAAATGGAAAAACTCAAAAGAGGTCAAGAGGACAATTTACATAACTTATAACAAGGGAACGGAGCCGTTCTGGGCGCTCCCGTGTCTGTAAATAACTCCTTCCTGCAGGGAAAAGCATATCTCCTACAATCACAAGAGGCTGTGCCTTCTGGAGCTTTTCTAAATACGCCTCTTACAAACTCTTCTTTAAAAAAAAAAAAAGGCGAGAATACGTGGCGTAAGTGATATTCTCTCTCGAACTCGGCAGAAGTCAACAAAGAGAAACCCCAAGGCGCAAACCGCCAGAGCCGCTGGATCTCAGCGCTCCTCGTGCAGGTGGGCGCCTCGCTCCCCGCCAGAGGCCCCCCACCCGCCGTCGCCAGACAGCCCTCGAGCCCGCCACAGACCGAAAGGCTCTTCCCTCGGTTATGTAACAATTCCTCCTGGGCCTGCTCGCCGGGGCCGCGGGGCACCGCATGACGCACCGCAACTGCTCGGACCGAGTTTACCGTACGAGGCCGCGCGAACGGACTGCCCCAGGCAAGCGCTCCTCAGAACCGACCACGTTCGGAGGAACCCGCCCTCGGATCGGCCAGGGCCCGGCCCGTCCGCAGCACCTCCCGTCCCTACGGACCTGGCCCCGGCGCACCGGCCCCGCGCCCGCCCCGCACGCCGTCCGCCCCCAAGGCCAGCCAGGGCCCCCGGCACGCGCCGCGCCCCTCCCCGAGGACACGTCCCACTTTTCTCGGGCGCCGGGCGCCCTGCCAAACGCGCCGGGACCCGCGGGCGCAGAGGGCGGCCGCCCGCACTCACTGTTGTACTGCACCCCCTTGGCGAAGCGCCTCTGCAGCGCCTGGTTCATGGACTGCAGCCCCGCGGGGATGTTCTTGTCCCGGCCGGGGGCCTGCTCCGACCCCACCAGTTTCTTGAGGGCGGAAAACATCTTCCTGGTCAGACGTCCGAGCCCCGGCGCGGCCGGCGAGCTCAGCGGCGGCGCGGCGTGGCTCGCACCATGTCCCGGCGGCCCGGGCCTCCCCGCGGCCGGAGCCGGCGCGGCCACAGGCCGGGGTCCCGGTGGCGGGGCGCGGCCTCCAGCAGCAGCTCGGGTACTTCAGCCGCTGCAACTCCGCTCCGGGCCCCGCGGCCCCTGGCGCAGCCGCTCTCCGCCGGTCCGCGCCGCCATCTTGGTGCCGGCTGCGCGGGGCGCGCGGCTACCGGGCGGCGCGAGGGCCACGGCGGGGGCGCGCATGCGCAGATCCAGGCCCCGCGCCTGCCCCGCCGGCTCCAGCTACCACCCCGCTCCCGCCGGCGTCCGGCGACCCGAGCCGTTTCCTCCGAGCTCCCGCCGCCCTGCGAGCCCGGCAGTCCTGGAAAAATGTTTATTTGTGTAACAAAGCGGGGCGGGCGGGGCTACTTCTTCTTCTTCTTGGTCACCTTGAGCTTCCCCTCGATCAGCCGCTGGGCCTGGCTCTTGATCTCGGCGCGCGAGGGCACGTAGCTGTGGTCCACGTCGGCGAACTGGAAGGTCTCTGCGGGCGGGCGGGCGGGGTCCCGGGTGGCCGCGGCGTGCCCCTCGCGCCGGCCCGCCGCCCCCGCTGTCCCCTCGCGCCGTCCCCAGCGCGCGTCCCTGCCAGGCAGGGCGGGCCCCTCCTCGGTAACCCTAAGTGGGTTCTTGCCATTGCCTCAGGCCCCCGACATCACTAAGCCCCTCCTTCATGAAAGTTCCGCGGGCAGAACACGCCCCGCAGCCCCCACTGCCCTCCAGGGCGCCCTGGACGGAGGGGAGCCGGCACCACCTCGCCACCGCCGCGCCCCTGGGGCTGAGCGCCTGGGCCTGTACCGATCATACCTTCCTCCAAGTCCTCAAAGCTGATCCTGGTGTTGCGCTTCTCCTTCAGCGTGGAGGACTCGAGGGCGTCCCTCACCTTCGTGTTGACCTGCGCGGCAGAGCCCCGTTCAGCTGCGGCCCACCCTGAGGGGACAGGCCGTGGGGGCGACTCCGGGGCCCAGCCTACCTCCTCCGTTCTGGACATGGCCTGCACTCGGTCGGCCAGCCACGTGAGCCTCCCCTCGCAGTACGCCAGCTTGCTGTACAAATCGAGGGTGTCGGGGAGCACCACTTCTCTCTGCAGGCCGGGAGGAGGGTCTCATCTCCCCTCTGGCCCCACCGGGGACCTGCGTGCAGGCAGCTCCCCCACCCCATACCTGGCCAGAAGGCAGGACCACCCCGACCAGCCGGATGTAGAGGTTGTCGATGCCCATCTGGATGGTCAGCAGTAGTTTCTGGCTCTTGGTCAGGTTGGCGTGGGCCATCTGGAGCCTCTCCTCTTCCTCTTTCAGCATGTCCTTCATCTTCTTCTCAAGGGACTTAAAGCTGTGGGGTCAATGGGAGCACAGCAATGAGCGGCCCCTCAGGAGGCGGGTCCTGAGCTGGGTGCTGTCCTCGGGTCAGGGGCAGGGGCTCAGATGTTGGCCGTGGGTCCCCTGCTCATCTGCAGGGGTGAGCACGCTCCCAGCCCAGCCCCAGCCCATAGGGGCTGTTTGTGAGACCCTGGGGGTGGCCCAGCAGCCCTGGAAGCCCCCAGGCACCTGATGGAGCCAGGCATCTGGTGGAACTTGAGCACCGCCTCCTCCAGCTGCAGCTTCTTGGCCAGGGCCTCCAGCTGCCTCCGCCTCTCCTCACAGTCCTTCATCTGCAGCTCCAGGTCCTCCTCTGTGTTCTTCTGGGCCAGGAACCGGCTGGCGATGTCCTGGCCAGTCCAGGAGAGAGAGGCAGGTGAGGGCGGCGAGGTGGGGGCTCCACGGAACTGGCTTCCTCTGGGCCCCTCCCAGTGGCCAGAACAGATTCTCTGCACTCAGGGCTCGGTGATAATGTGAACTGCTGCCGGCACCCCGGGCTTGTGGGGGGTCAGCCAGGGGGTGATGTGCTTTTTTTAATTTTAGAGACAGAATCTCTGTCACCTAGGCTAGAGCCCAGTGGCATCATCATAGCTCACTGCAACCTCAAACTCCTGGGCTCAAGTGATCCTCCTGCCTCAGCCACCAGAGTAGCTGGGAATACAGGTGTGCCCGGCAGGGGTGAAGCACTTTGTGTGGGAGAGAGCATGGATAACCCCATGGAAGACATGGAGATCACTGCTGAGGGATGTTGTGTCACTTTGAGTCACTTGTCTGACAGTGAACAAGCTTGTGTCAGGGCCTAATAATAAACCCAGACGGAATTAAAATGAAAGGGGGGAGGTGGAGGCAGCTGCTTGCTGTGACTGTCAGATTGGGAAGAGGCTGGGGGTTGGAAACAGAGGCCATGTCCTCGGCATCTGGATCATCAAATTCTGGCAGGTGCCCTGCTGCACCTGGAGCGAGGCTGGGGTACGCAGCTTAGTCCCGAGAGTGTCCTCTGCCCCGAACCTGCTCTGCGGGTCCCAAGTCTCCTTCCAGGCCTAAGAGCAGCAGGGCTGGCCCTGCAGGTCCGGAGTCCGAGAGAGCTACAGCTTTCTGTGTCCATTCCAGGGACCCTGCAGACCCCAGCCCAGCCCAGCCCGCTCCTGCCATGCCCTGGGAGCGCAAGGAATGTTACCCAGAGGTGGGAGCACTGCACAGCAGTCTTGACTTTGTCCACCAAAGCAGTCACACCCGTCTGGTATTCAATGTCAGCCACAGAGGTTTCTTTTTTCCTCACTGGCAGAGAGGAAGGGGCTGTCAGCATGCAGGGACGACCAGGGGCTCTGCGAGGCCATCAGACGCCCAGCGTCTAGAAGGCCACCCAAGCAGCCGATGCCCTCCAGCTGGGAGCCTGCACCTTTATCTGCCCCCTCCCTGGTGGGGATTCCCCAGGCAGCCCCAGTGCAGAGGAGGATGAGGAGGGCGTGGCACTGTGGGGCTTAGCGATGCTCCTCAGAGGCAGCTTGGGGTCCAGGGGACTCATCCCCTCTGAGAAGTCCCCGAGTGATGGGGTCCTGGAGTATGAGCACAGCGTCACTGCAGCCGCAATCACCCACAGGCTGTCAGCCTTGCAGGGGTCGCTGGGGACAGGCAGGGGCTCATCTGTGTCCCTCACCTCAGTGACTGCACAGTACACCTGCCTCGCAGTGGCCTGATTGGGTGGCCCGAGCCAGTGCTGGCCTCTCGAAACCCTGGCTGGGGGCAGGCAGGGAGCCGAGCACTTGCCTCTCAGGGTTTCCGTACTCATCATGTTGGAAGGGAAGTGCAAGTCCATCTGGCCCTGATGGGAGAGGGAGGAGGAGGAGGAGGGTGAACCGTGTCCTCTGCAGGGAGTGGAGCGTCCACTCAGCAGGGGTGGTGGAGGGGCCGGGCAGGGCCTGGGGCTCACCCGGCGGTACTTTTCACTGGTCTCCTTGGTGCGGATCTTGTCGATCAGCTTCTTCTGCTGGTTGAGCCGATTCTCCCGCGCCCTGCGCTCCTCGATGAAGGACGCCTCCCCTTGCCTCATGTTCCTCTGGGGACAAGGCGGGGCTGTCTCACCAAGGCCCCCCATGGAACTACAGCCAGCGGGCGGTCGTCAACCCTCATCTTACTAGACTTTGGAACAGCGCCCGAGGCTGTGGGCCATGCCTTCTTCCCAAAGCAACGGTGCTGCCGGCTTCCCAGCGTCCTCTGGGACCCATGGCTCACACGTGCCCAGTGTTCCCTCTCCAGCCCTAAACACTAATTCTTTGTCCCCCGAAACCTGGCCTCTCCCAGTGCATCCTGCTTTGGTAGCTAAAGCCACCATCCATCTGCCCCTGCCTCCACGTCCTGGGCACTGCTTCCCTCACGATTCCTGTCGTCACAGCTCACTGGGGTTACCTCTTAGAGGCTTCTCGGCTCCGTGTACTTCTGGCCACCCCCACTCCACCTCTGGCCTGCCCAAGTGACCAGCATTTCTGCCCTGGCACTGTCCAGCCCCTGCAGCCAGAGCGCACCCTTTTTGAAGCACAAATCTGGTCCTGTCCCTTCCATCTCCTCCCAGGGCTCCAGGTGAGGAGTTCGGCCCCACTGACCCTGCTGTCTCCACTGAGTCACGGGGACAGAACCTCTGGGACTTTCTCTGCCCCCAGCCACATCACCTGCACGTCATGCCCCTCCCAGCCCCACGCCTCTGCCTTTGTTGTCTCTCCTCCTCCCAAGTTCTGGCCACCCCTGCCCCTGCTCCTTCATTCCTTCACAGCCCAGCTTAAGCCCTGCCTCCTTGGAAAGCCATCCCAGAGCTCCCTAAGCAGGCCAGCACCCCAGGAAGGGCGCCCACGGCACCCCACACCTTGCTGCCATGCTGGCCCGGTGGCTGCGCAACATTTTCTCACGGACTATCGGACAAGCAGCTGCCTCCTCGTGCTGCCTGCTCCAGGGGAAGGGGCTGCATCCCCAGGGCCCTGTGGGGGCCTTGCACAGACTGGGTGAATGGGAGGGGCCAGGCTGACTCCCTCCCGCCTATCTCATGGCTTCTGTGCCCAGTGGGACCCCCTCTGTCCTGTGGGTGAGCAGAGGCTGGGGGGCTGGCTGCTGGGTCCCTCCAGGGGTTGTAGGCATTGTGGGCCTGGGGATCTGAGGGACCGGGGGCCAGATGGGTCTGGGGGAGCCAGCCCTGGAGGCCCTCAACCCCGGGACCCCAGCTCACCTTGACCTCATCTGTGATCATCATGGCGTCATGGGACATGACCGTCATATCCGACAGCTCAGAGCAGTAGTCGGCCACGAGATTCTGCAGCTTGTCCAGCTCTGTGGGGTATCCCACCAGCACCTGTGAGGGCAAGGGCAGGTGGGCACAGGGGCCACAGGCAGCTCCAGTGCTTCCCCTCCATGCTGGCTTCTGCTCTATGGCCCCAGGCCCCAGCCAGGCACAGAGCAGGTGAAAGGAGGTGTTTCAGGAGGGGCAGACAGCATGGCCTGGTGGACTCTCCCGCAGCCCAGAGACACTGTGAAGAAGGTAGTGAGATGTTCTGCCCAGGAAAGTCTGACTGCAACCCAGGGAGACCCTCTGCTTGGGAACAGCTTTGGTCTAAAGTGAAGCCGAGGGTCAGAGAGTCAGGGCTCAGGCAAAGGCTGCTTCAGACTGGATAGCTGTGTGACCTTTGGAAAGTTACTTAACCTCTCTGAGTGTCCCCATTTGTAAAAGGTGATAATGGCTCTTTCAGAAGATTGCTTGCTGTCAGGATCAATTGAGAATGTAAAATTATGTATTTAGCGCAGACCTGCTGCATAAATGTCCAAGATAGCTTTGCTATTAGTATTTTGTTTTTAATGATTATAAATGTAGAATTTTTGTTTGTCACTTTTTAAAAAACATGGATGATCATGGGAATTTTTTTTTTTATGTGTATATTCTAAAAAGAAGAGGAGGCCGGGCGCGGTGGCTCACGCCTGTAATCCTAGCTCTTTGGGAGGCCGAGGTGGGTGGATTGTTTGAGCTCAAGAGTTCGAAACCAGCCTGAGCAAGAGCGAGACCCTGTCTCTACTAAAAATAGAAAGACATTAATCGGACAACTAAAAATATATAGAAAAAATTAGCCGGGCATGGTGGTGCATGCCTGTTGTCCTAGGTACTTTTGAGGTTGAGGCAGTAGGATTGCTTGAGCCCAGGAGTTTGAGGTTGCTGTGAGCTAGGATGACGCCACGGCACTCTAGCCTGGGCAACATAGTGAGACTCTGTCTCAAAAAAATAAAAAATAAAAAGAAGAGGAGGCTGGGCGCAGTGGCTCACACCTGGAATCCCAGCATTTTGGGAGGCTGCGAGGCAAGAGGATTGCTTGAATGAGGCCAGGAGTTTGAAACCAATCTGAGCAACATAGCTAGACCCTGTCTCTACAAAAATAAAAAAAATTAGCCAGGGGTGGTGGTGTGGCCTGTAGTCCCAGCTACTGGGGAAGCTGAGGCAGGAAGATTACTTGAGCCCAGGGGCTCAAAGCTGCAGCGAGGTATGATTGACACCACTGCACTCCAGCCTGGGTGACAGAGTGAGACCCTATCTCTAAAAAATTAATAAAAAATAAATTTAAAAAAGTAAGAATTAGGTGCTACCAGAGGACATAGCACCCAGGTGTAGGAGGGTGTTGGAGGGGTAGGCCGGGAAGGAAAGGTGGGTAAGGCCTCCGGGTGAGCCTCCCCGGGACCAGGGGCTGAGGCAAGAGGGACAGGCAGTAGGATGGCCTGGGGTCGTGGGCAGGATTGGAGGGGCAGGACCCCAGCAGGAAACAGCTGCAGTGCCCCACCCATCCATCGCCCCCACCACACTGCACTTCTACCATGTCACTGTGCCACACACCACCCTCCAGGCTCCCCTTTGCCCAGTCCTAGGGTGAGGGTGTCTGGGGGATTCCCCTACCCCATCCCAGGCTCTCTGCTCCTGCGGCCCTCTCTCTCCCTGCCCCATCCCTGCTGCTCTTCTCAGCACCGTGCCCCACCCCTCCTGTCTTCTCCTCCTCATCTACTGTCCACTGGCCTGTGCTCCGCTTCATGCGAGGCTGAGGGGCACGGCGGTGGGACTGTGCTCCGCAGGGAGCAAGGGGCTGGCTCGGGTGGGGGGCAGACCCTTCAACGTGCAGGAGGCGCCTGCCTTGTAATATATTAGGGGACCTTCTGTGCCCGCTTCTCAGAGGCCCAGGCAATGAAAAAATACAAACATTTAAAACGCACAAGAAAGCCCAAGGGGTTCTGACGCGCCCACGATGTGCTTTTCTGGACTCGCAAAAGATCAAGTTTGTAAAGGAGTGTCCTACTTAGCTGGTACTCGAAGCAGGACTCGGTCGTCCTGCCGGCCTGGGGGTGCCAGCCCTGGCCCCGCCCCTCTTGGCCGCGGGGCGCTGGGGACTCACTTGCTTCAGGTAGTTCAGCAGGTTCACGTACAGCAGCTGCACGTGCTGGCTCGTGGTGATCTTGACCACTGTCTTTTCGATGTTGTTCTCCAGCTGGCGGATGACCTGGCGGCGGACCGCAGGCACGTCGGGAGCGCGCGGAGACCGGCCACCCGGGGCCCAGGGGCCCGCCCCGGGGGACGTCGGGCTGGACTTTCTCCGAGGGGCTCGTGCTTGCCTCGCGCCGCCCGCCGGCTCCGCCCTCCCGCCCGCCAGAGCCCCCGCCCCAAGAAACCACGCCCTCCATCTAGCCCCGCCCTCCCCGCGGCCCTCCCCTCCCCTCCAGAGACCCCGCCCATCCCGGGCCCCGCCCTCCAGAGGCCCCGCCCTCCCCGGGCCCTGGCTCCGACGCCTGGCCACCTGCAGCAGCCGCTGCTCCTCCTTGCTGGCGTCGGGCTGGCCGCGCAAGCCGGCCAGCTCCAGCTGCATGTTCTCCAGCTTCTGCCCGCGCCGCCGCACCAGGTGGATCAGCACGTTGTGCACGTTCACGCGGTCGAAGACGTACTTGCGCAGCCTCTCCCGCGCCACCTGCTCGGGCGGGCACGGTCCGCGCGTGGGTGCGGGAGGGCGCCTCAGCGCGCCAGGAGCGGGAAGGGGAGGGACGCGTCCGTGGCCACCCCGCAGGGACGCAGGGTCGGGGGTGGGCGCTTGCTCTGCCCTCGCGGGCTTAGCGGGGCGCGCTGGCGGGGCGGGGGTGGCGTTCCGAGGGCCGCCCCTGCCCCGTTACCTCCACCGTGCTGCGGCAGTGCGCCAGCCTCAGGGGCGCGTCCTTCCCGCACGCCCTGGACACGGTCCACTGGTCGCACTGCGGAGGGCGGCGGGTGAGCCGGGGCGCCCCTGAGCGACCCCGCAGCCGCCGCCCCGCAGGCGTCCTCCGCAGGGCCCCGTACCCCTGCCGCGGGCCCTCCTGGCATCCCAGCTCAGACGTGGTGGGGTAGGTGAAGAGGGCCTGGGACTCCCTAGCTGGCCAGAGACCCAGAGGCGCCCTGCTGCAGGACGTGGACCCAGAGATGCCACGCCTCACGGGGCGCGTGGCGGGGAACCTGCGGCCAGGCTGCTGGGGTGACTGGAGCCCCTTACCGGATGCCTCCGGCTCCAGAATGATTGGGAGGGGCCCCCTCATCCCCAGGCAGCTGAGAGGGGTGGGGCTCGTGCACCTTCTTGGCCAAAGCCCAGTCCTGGGCCCCGCGGCGGAGGTTGCTGCGCAGGAGGGCCAGCGTAGCCTTGTTTTGGGCTGACTTCTCTCTCGCCCCCTGGATCTGGAGCGCCCGACATTGCTCTGCGGGCGGGCGGAGAGGACGGGGTGGCCAGGATGTGGGCTAGGGCCCGGCCCAGAATCCCCCAGGGAGGGACTCGCATCAGGGCTCTCTCCTCCCATCCTGGCCCCGGGGGACACGGCTCCACCGCGCAGCCGTGGTTATCTGAGAGGCTCTCAGTGGACAGGGTGCTGGCAGTGGCGAGGGCGAAGCCAAGGACGGGGGCGAGGTGTTGGTGTCCTGTGGTCCTTCCAGATCTGCTGCCCACAGAAGAAGGCGGGTCCCTTCCTGTCCCTTCTGGATTTGGGGCCCATTTGCTTTTATGCTGACAAATCTCCTTGAAACACCCCCCCTTGGGAGGTCCCTTTGATCCCTCCCCCCAGCCTCGTTGGGAGTGGGCAATAGAGTGTCCACTTGCCCCTCCACGTCCTGGTGTTAAAACTGAAAGTTCTTCACCCAGAACCCCAACCACAAGTGGGCCAGGGTGGCTGGTCACTCCCGTGTTGGCCCACCCTGGAGTCGAGTGATGGTCTTCAGCTCCTGTGTCTGCTCCTCCACGTCTGCCTCACTGTGTCTCTTTATGGTGGCCCTCATGGTCCCCCAGGGGCCCTGGGCACCTCCCACGCTCCTCAGCCTTGGCCTGCTCAACAGAATTGAAATCCAGGTTGTCCCCAGAATCCCAGCCCATTGTGACGGGGCCAGGGTTCTCGATGCCCAGGTAACCCTGGAATTGCAGGCCCTCCCTGCCCCACTCTCATCCTAATTTAAACGAACGAGTCTTGTGGAGGCTGCTGGTGGCTCAGGAGCTGTGTTGGGGCTGAGGTGCCTCTTTGCTTGGGGAGGTGATGTGTGATGGGTTGGCACAGCACCCCATGCCACACCTGTGCCTTCCCAGCCCCCCTCCCATGCCCCCAGGCTGCCCTGCACAAAGCTGGATCGTGCCTCCTACCACTGCTACTGCTTTACAGATCTCTGCTCCCCACCACTTCCCCAAGTTCAAATTCCATGCCCTGGGTGACCTGGCTCACCAGACCCCAAGCCGAATCCCTCACTGCCTCAACTCTTCCCACGTCCCTTCCTGACCTTTGCTGCGCTGCCTGGAGCCCACCCTCCTCTGCCCCCACTTCCCTCTGGGAACTCCTGGGTCTTGGTTCAGGTGCCATTCACTCCAGGAGGGGTGAGGTCCCCGTTGGTCTCGACCACCCCGCACCTTCCCTTCGAGTGAGTGGTGTGCCCGGAGCACCCAACAGCCTGGGACTCCGTGGGGTACACACGAGTTGGGCTACTTTCCCCCCAGCCTTGCTGTATGGGTTTGCTAGGGCCACCATGACAAAGCACCACAGATTGGAGGCTTAAACAACAGACATTTATTTTCCCACAGTTCTGGAGGCTGGAAGTCGGAGATCAAGGTGTGGGCAGGGCTGGTTCCTCCCGAGGCCTCCACCTTGGTCTGCAGATGGCTGTCCCTCTGTGCATGTCTGGGTCCTAATCTCCACTTCTTAGAAGGCCACCTGTCATGTTGGATTAGGGCCTACGCTCATGAACTCATTTTACCTCAATTACACGGTAAAGACCCTATCTCCAAACACAGTGACGTGCTGAGGTCCTGGGGGCTAGGGCTTCAACACAGGAATTGGGGGGCACAATCAGCCCTCACCCCTGTGCTGCTATGGGCCCATCTTCCTCTGTGACCTCTCGCACAGATCCCCTATGTTTCTGGTCACGGTCAACTTTCAGAGAGCCAGTCCAGTCTAAAACTCCACGTTCACCCCTGCCCTCCCTGCCATCCCAGGCCTTGCCCTCAGGGGCTGGCAGAACCTGCCAAGGGTGTGGTCCGATCACTTCCCCTGGTTCTAAGGGGCCCAGCTTGGTGGCCCTGCTGGCAGAGCCCACCCGCTGTCCCCCAGTTTGGGCCTTCCCTTCTTTCCCAGATCAAGAAGCCCAAGTCTCAGTGGGGCAGTCGCCTTCCTGGGCATCCTGGCACTCGATGGATCATGACTTGGTTCTGGCAAAGTGTGTGAGCAGGAGTGGCAGGTGAGCGCCCTCCTCCCCCCTCCTTCCTGCTAAATGGGATGAAGACGCAACGGCAGAGGCTGGTGCAGCCGTGAGACCCGAGGTGGGCACGGGAGGCGATCTGGGAAGCGAGGTCATCACAGCAGGGACAGACTCAAGGGACAAGGGTGGGGGTCCAGCTCCTTGCCAAGCCTGGCCAACCCACTGGGACTTTTACATGAACGAAAAAATAAAAGCTCTAACTTGCTTAAGCCCCGTTCTTGGGCTTTCTGTCACTTTGCCCTCCTGCCTACTTGGAGGGCGCACCAGGTACTCCGTAACATTCTTTCGAGCAACCAGTCAGGCCCAGGCGAGGCTAAGCGGGGCTGGAGTGCACGGCCCTGTGTGGCCTTCCCTGTCCCCAGGAGGCCAGCGTCCCATGACTGACTCACCAAGGCTTCGAGCCTCTCCGCCTCTTGCCAGGCCGGGTGCCGAGGGTGGCGCGCCTGCTCAGGAGCGTGCCTCGGTGGACAGCGCCCCAACTGCCCGCCTGGTGGGGAGCGCCCGGGGGCGGCTCCACCTGATCGGTAGGCTTGGAACGTCCGGCAGCCGGCCCTGCCCCCACCCCTTCTGCTCTGCTCCTGCGCAAGTGGGACAGACTCAGACCCCTGTCCCCACCTCCCACCCCTGGCCACAGGCCTTGGCGGTCTCACACGGCCTACAGGGCCGGGAGGAGTGTCTAATCCTGGGCACAGCGTTAGGAACTCCCTTGGTGTGAAGTCGGTATGTCACCTTCACATGTGGCTGTGTGGCCCTGAAGGTGACATTTCATCTCCCTTCTCACCCCTTGTGCTTCTCAGTTTAGAGCTCAGGTGGGAGAAGGGACAAGTCATTTATTAGCCCCCCGACCCCATCACCAGCTGTCACCCTGGACTTGTGAGGGTACCGGGCCAGGATGGGGACGCTAAAGCACCAGACAGGGCAAGTCCTTCCACCCGGGCCCCAGACACGCGTGTGCTCACGGTGCCCACCCTGGTTCCTGCTGCCCTGAAGCTGCGCTGTTATACCACCCGGCGAGAGCCCTCCTGATCCCCCCTCCGGGGCAGGTCCCACGCTGGGGCAGAGGCAGTGCACACAGGTTTGTCCGGCCTGGCCATGCACATGTGCAGAGGACATGGCTGGGGCACCCCGGGGTGTGGGGAGGGCCAGCCTGGGGTTGGGGGACACTGAGGGCTGTGTTCCAGGATGCCCCCTGCCCAAGTCCCCCATGCACGGCTGGAGCTCTCCTAGGTGCGTTGATCTGTAGGAGGCAAGGGGAGACAGCTAGAACCACGTCCGCTGCTGCTCGGAGCACCCATTTTATCATGGCAAAACCTGAGTCCCGTAAGGAGGTCGGCAGGCAGTGGAGGCCAGGCCTGGGATCAATTGGTGTGGTGCTCCACGAGGGGTCTCTCAGTCCAGCGACTCCCCGTGGGGCCCATGTGGCTGCTGTGCCGCCCACACTCCTCCCCTCCCTCTCAGGGGCACTTCACCCCTCCTGGTCTCCTCCTGAGAAAGGAGCCCTCCAAGGGTGCGCGGTATCTGCCCGCAGGGTCAGCCGTCCAAGATGCACAGGCTGAGCAGAGGGGCCCTGTCCAGCCTACCACTTGGGGCCCCGGGTTGGCCCAACTGAAACTCTGGGCAGCAGAGCCTCGGTTTCCACTTCACGCTGCCCCCCAGGCGGTCTCACCTGTGCTCATGTCTTTGGGGAGCTTCCCTGTCTCCAGGAAGAGCCAGAGGTCGCTGCATTTCTGCGACTCCACCCTTGTCACCCAGTAGCTGGCCACAGAGCCTGAGACTGAAGATGAGGAAGCGGCAGGGCAGCGGGCTGGGGGGAACTGGTGCAGGCTCCCGGCAGAGGAGCTGGGTGGGCTTGGACAGGGCTCCTCACCAGAGGCGGTGCCAGCACCACAGCCCCCACCCCTAGTGTAAGCCCACCTGCACCGACGAGCCCGGGCACCAACCCTGGGGCGCAGACCCTGAGTACCCACCCACGGCCACCAGCAGGCTCCACTGGAAAGGGTAGGGACACCTCCTCTGGAAGAACATCTGCAGGCCGAGGGTCGCACCGGTGCCTGCCAGGAGCCGAGGTCCCCATCAGTCAGCCTGTACGCGGGACTGGCCAGGCCCACCTGGCGCTGCCTGAGAGGCACCTGCCAGGCCCCAGCACCCAGGGGCAGGTGATTTAGCGCCACCTGCTGGGGAGTCGGGGTGAGACAGGAGGTGAGTTCTCCCCACGCCCGGGTCACCTGGACGCAGCCTACCTGTGACGAAGGTGCAGACGCCCTTCACGAAGGCTCTCGACTGGCACGCGGCATACTCCCCGAGTCCCTGCAGGGGGCGAGGGAGGAAGGCTCCGCTCCACCTCTCCTCCCTCGCCGCCCCTCCTGGCCCTCCTCTGGGCACAGCCCAGCTGCGCGGAGACCGGGGCCGGGGCACAGCGCGCCGCCCCCAGGCCGCCCGGGACGCCCGGAGCCCCACAGCGAGCATCCCTCGCCCTGCGCCCCGCGGCCCTTGCCGGTCCCCCGCCCCGCTCGGGGCACCTCTGAGGTCTGGGGCCCACGTCCCAGCCCGGCCTTCTCACCGGGTGCTTGGCAGCCACAGCGTCGTCCACTCGGGACAGGCCCAGGTTCACCATGACTGGCCCGGCTTGCAGAGGGGCCTGCGCAGCCGCAGGCGGGGAGGGCGGGGCCCGGGGCGGGGCCTGGGCAGGGGCGGGGTGAGGCCTGGAGGGCGGGGCCTGAGGCGGGCCTGCGCAGGAGCAGGCAGAGAGCGCGGGCCTAGGAGGCGGGGCCTGGAGGGCGGGGCCTGGGCAGAGGGCGGGGAGAGAGGTGGGGCTGAGCCTGGAGGGCGGGGCCTGGGCAGAGGGCGGGGCGGGGCCCGAAGAGCAGAACCTGAGGCGGGCCTGCGCAGGAGCAGGCAGCGCGGAGCCTAGGAGGAGGGGCCTGAGGGCAGGGCCTAGGCAGGGGCGGGGCGGGGCCTGGAGGGCGGGGCCTGAAGCGGGCCTGCGCAGGAGCAGGCAGAGAGCGCGGGGTCCAGGGGCGGGATATAGGGGCGGGGCCTGAGCAGAGGGCGGGGAGAGAAGTGGGGCTGAGCCTGGAGGGCGGGGCCTGTGCTGAAGCAGGCAGAGAGCGAGGGGTCTAAGGGTGGGTCTGGAGGGCGGGGCCTAGGCAGGGGTGGGGCAGGGCCTGGAGGGGGCTGGGCGGGGCCTATACTGCCCGCCCTGTGCCGGCCGCTCCCTGTAGGAGCAGGGGCTGAGGGACTCTGGACGCCGACTCCGCTGCACATTCTGGCTCTGTAGCCCAGGCTGGAGTGCAGTGGCGCAATCATAGCTCGCTGCAGCCTGGAATTCCTGGGCTCAAGCGATTCTCCCACCTCGGCCTCCCGAGTAGCTGGGACTCCAGGCACATGCCACCACGCCCAGTTAATTTTTAAATTTTTTTGCAGAGACGGAGTCTTGCTATGTTGCCTAAGCTGGTCTCCAATTCCTAGCCTCAAGTGATCCTCCCCCATCAGCCTTCCAAAGTGCTGGGATTACGGCGTGAGCCACCAAGCCTGGCCTCTTATACCTTAACGACCTCTTTAAAGGCCCTGTCTCCAAATATTAACACAATCATATTCTGAGGCCCAGGGTGTCTTGCTCTCTCCAAGACGGGAGAAGGGGCCCTCTCCAGCGGCCCTGGACTCCCTGATACTTAACAGGTCCCTCTTCCTCCGCCCTGAGTGGGGAGCACCCCCCCCCGTGGAGAATCTATGTCCCCGGGAGGTGTCCAGTGAGTGCAGGCGGGGGCAGGAAAGTCCAGGGTGTGGTCTCAGTCTCGGAGAGACCCCCTTCCCTGCTTTTTCCACATCCCAGCCTGGGCAGCCCGGAGTGCTACCACGTGGTCCCGCGGGCTCAGCAGGGCGCCGAGGCCGCGCTCACCTGGGCCTGGGCTTCCAGCCACAGCTCACGCTCCTGGGGCAGCCCCGGGAGGAGGCCCTTAGGAGGCCGGCCCAGCCCCAGCCGGAGGCGCACTGCTCGGAGGGTGTGCCTGCAGCCGGGTGGAGGCTGAGCAGGGAGGTTGCTGGCCCTGACTGAAGGCCACCTGCTCCTTTGTCCCCAGGGGAACTGAGAGGGAAACAAGGTCAGCCGCTGCCCAGCAATGACGTCTGCCCGGTGCCCGCCAACTGGCGGTGGGTCCTGCGTCTCTGAGGCTCAGAAAGAGTCCCGCTCAGCCTGGGAGCTAGAATGTCCCTGGAAGGGAGGCGCGTGGGGGAACAGGTCAGGTCACACCTGGCTCGCAACACCTGCTGAGCGCAAGGTATGGACCCAAACTGTCCGGGCCAATCAGCACACAGATTAGCCTACCTAGCTCTCTCAGCCAATCAGCTTGAGTCTTGGACCATAGCTGCTTCCAGCCAATTAGAACAAAGCACAGACAGCACTTCTCAGCCAATCAGTGCAGGGTGCGGGCACGGCCCACGCCAGAGGCTAAGCTGGCCTGAGCTGGAGCAAGAAGCCGGCGGGACGTGGGCCCGGTGCAACGCGGGGCGCAGGGGAAATCGGGGGCGCGGGGTGAATTGGGGGCGCAGGGGGAACTCGAAGGCGCAGGGGTTAACAGGGGGCCAGGGGTTACCGGGGGGGCAGGGGGTACTAGGAGGCGCAGGGGCTACTTGAGGGTGTAAGGGGTACCCGGGGGCTCAGAGGGCACCTCTTTTCCCTTGAGATTGTCTCTGCCATTCTCAGAGCACCTGATGGTCGGCTCTAACAGCTTTACTGAGATTTTTTTGCGGACCACAGTTACAACTCAGTGGTTTTCAGTACATCAGCAGAGTTTTGCAGCCATACTGTCAACTCTAGGACGTTTTCATGACCCCAAAGAGAGACCCCCTATCCGCTAACAATCACTGCCCGTGCCTCTCCCGGCCCGGCCGGCACCGATGTACTCCGGCCTCCGGATTTGCCTGTTCCTGACATTTCCTGAAAAGGGAAGCGTAAGACATGGGTCTGGCTTCTTTCACGCAGCACTGCGCATCTGAGTGCATCCGTGCTGCCGCGTGGGTCCGCGGCCGGTTCCGTCATTCCGAATGATGTTCCAGGGCACGACGGGCCACCGCTTGCTCATCTAGCCGCCCGCCGAGGGCATTTCGTTGTCCCCAGTTTTTAGTGACTGCGAATGAAGTCACTGCCAGGGGCAGGTCTGGTGGAAACATAGTTTCATTTCTCTTGGGGAGCGCCTGGGAGCGCAGTGTTAAACTGGGCGGTGAGTGAATGTTTCGCCTTATGGGCATCTGCCAACGTGCCTTCCAGGGAGTGGAACCGTCCGGTTCTCCCCAGAGCAGGCCGGGCTGCGTGTCAGCCATCGGCCCTTGGGGCCGACGTTCTGATAGGTGCAGTGGCTGTGTCCTGAAACGGCTCCAGTTTACATCTCCCTGATGACTAACGATGCTGAGCACCTTTTCTGCTGCTTATTTTCCACATAGATGTCTTGTTTGGCGAAATGTCTTTTCAAATCTTTTGCCTGTCTTTGTTTTTTAAATCGGCACGCTTGTTTTTTTATTGTTGAGCCTCGAGAGTTCCGCAAGCATTTTGGACTGCATTCCACCTGGTGACTCTCGGTGGCCTTGGCAGGGACCTGCCTGAGAGTCGGCACCTCCTGAAGCCCGGTGGGGGCAGCCAGGAGAAGCCCTCAGTTCCTTCCGCTCCCCCTCTGCTGGGTGCTGAAGGTCTTTCTCTGACCTGTTCCTTCTTCCACTCTGGAGGGCTGGCGGTGCTCTCCTCCCTGGCTGGTGTGCCCCAAGGCCACGTGCTGCACCCTGTCCAGTCTCCCCGGGTGCTCTGTGTGGACAGAGAGGTCACCCGGAGAGACCTTCCCAGGCTCCAGCTTCCACCAGCCCACGGCGCCTCCCGGTGTCACTCCCACCTGCACACTTACACAACCGGTGATAAGGCAGCATCTGATACCATAATCCTCCCTAAGCGCCAGCCCGGCCCCATCCTGTCCCAGGTGTGTTTGCTAGAGGCCCAGCTGGTGGCTGTGTCGGGAACAGTGGGGTGTCTGGGGTGAGGGCGCCCAGGCCTTTCTCACTCTGCGCTAGCACAGGCTCTGTCCAGAGGTCTGGCCAGTGGTCAGCCCCCTGCTGTGATGGGGATGAGCGGGAGGGAGGACCGCTAGGTGACCAGATCCCAGGTAGGGGCCTGCTGGTCAGAGCAGCACCCCCAGTACCCTGGGCCCCTGGCCCCAGCCAGGCTGGAGGGTGGACAGAGGTACTGGGGGTGTGAATCTGGGCAAGCCACGGCGAAGCCTGGGCAAGCCTCAGCGGGGCGGCTGGGCATGTGGACCCTGCGACTGGTCACGTGCCTGGCGGGTCTGGGAGACAAATCCTCAGCCTGTGTGCGTCAGGAGAGAGCCTGGCTGTCTGGAGCCCTCCAGGAAATGACCTCTGGAGCTGGCAGAGACACTCGCGCGATTGTGCCCAACAATGGACAAGGGCTGGAGCTCCCAGAGCCATAGCGCCTCCTGCTCCCCAGCCTGCTCTGCGGGTGGGCCGGGGTGGCAGGCTGGGCTATAAAGCTGGGCCCACTGGGGCTTGGGGACTCAGGGCACCAGGGGCTGGAGGGCAGTGTGGGCATGAAGTCGTTCCTGCTGAGCCCGGTCCTGGCCCTGCTCTGGGTGTCCACAGCCCAGGCTGAGGTCCTAGTGCAGCCCGACTTTGATGCTGAAAAGGTACCAGGGGCCTCCGCGCTGTGCCGCGGGTGGGTGGGGCTGAGCCCTTGCCGCAAAGGACAGCGACGGTGATGATAGAAATGGCCCCTTTCCTGGAGCACTTGCCCTGCAGATGCTGTAGAGCTGCTCTCTGTTTAACCCTGAAGCAACCCCGCCTGTGGGGTAATTACTGGGCCCATTTCACAGTTGGGGGAACTGAGGCTCCCAGTAGGGCTGTGACCTGCCCGAGGCGAGTTCCTGCCCACCCTGGGCCGGAGATGGACACTGAGACCTTGTGTGACTTGCGGCAGGGCCCTGTTTCTCTGGGCCCTCGGGGGAAGGAGGGCTCTTGCCCTGGCTGCCCTGCCTGCCGGTCACAGAGTCGCCCACAGTTCTCAGGCCTCTGGTATGTGGTCTCCATGGTGTCCGACTGCAAAGTCTTCCTGGGCAAGAAGGACCACCTGCTGATGTCCACCAGGGCCATCAAGGCCACTGCGGGGGGTGACCTCAGCGTCCACATGGAGTTCCCTGGGTGAGCTGCCTGGGCCGGCCGGCTGGGCTGGGGACACGCTGGGGTGGCCGGGCTTGGCAGTGACGCAGGCCATGCGCTCCCAGGGCAGACGGCTGTACCCAGGTGGATGCTGAGTACCTGAAGGTGGGCTCCGCAGGGCACTTCAGAGTCCCAGGTACGTCCTGCCCTACGCACCTTCGGGGGCCCTGGACCCACCTCTCCAGGGGTGACCATGGCCATCTCCAGCTCCTCGCCGGCCCTCCCCTCCCTCCCCTCCCTCTCCCCGCACTGGCTCACAGCCCTGCAGGGGTGGGCGTGGGTGGGGTCGGCGCTGGGCTCTGTCCAGCTCTCCACGGCCGCCGTCTCCTCCTCCGCAGCCTTGGGCTACCTGGACGTGCGCGTGGCGGACACAGACTACAGCTCCTTTGCGGTCGTCTACATCTACAAGGAGCTCGAAGGGGCCCTCAGCACCATGGTGCAGCTCTACAGTGAGCCCCCGCCGGCCCCACCCCCACCCTCTGGACCCCACGCAGGGTTTGGGCAGCACTCTGCCTGGGCCCCACCCTCTCCCGTCCTGTCCCTCCCCTTCTGGACACGCCCCATCCTCCCTGCCCCCACCTCTTCGCTCCCGAGTCTGGGCGTAGGGGTGGGGGTTGGACCTCACAGTGCTTTGGACGGGAAGGGGGTCGGCTGGAGGGGTCCCTGAGGGCCAGACACTGGCCTCCTGGGAGTGGTGACCTGCTCTGTCCTGCTTGGTCTGGCTACCTGAGTCCCTGAACTGGGGCTGAGGCTCTACTTTAATCCCTGGGGCCCCCCAAGGTGGTGAGGGCTAGGTGAGGCCGGGGGCTGGCCTTGTGAGCTGCTGGGAAAGATGCTTAAGGGGAAGTGGGGCCCAGCAGTACATGGCCCAGAGCTGCCAGGGCACCCCAACCTCCAGGGTGCCTTTGAGTGAATTAGGAGTTGCGTGACTTCAGCCAGGCAGGTGCTTTCGTGCAGTGCACAACCTGCCCGACCTCACCTGGAGGCTTGCAGTCGGCCCTCAGGGAAGTGGAGACTCCTCCCCCTCCCCCTTGCCCCTGCCACAGTCCCTGTGAGCTGTGGGTTCACAGTGACTCCTGCTCTGCCCCAGGCCGGACCCAGGACGCAAGTCCCCAGGCGCTGAAGGCCTTGCGGGACTTCTACCCCACCGTGGGGCTCCCTGACGACATGATGGTCCTGCTGCCCAAGTCAGGTGCGCTGGACAAGCCCTGTCCCAGCTGGGAGCGAGCGGGCGGCAGGTGGTCTTCTCTTCTGGGGAGGGCTGGCTGCCCCTCCAGCCCCTCCAGCCCCTCCAGCCCCTCCAGCCCCACAGTCCCCAACACAGACTAAGGGAGAGGTTTTGGAGGCACGGTGGGGGGAGTCTTCACCCGGGAATGGAGGGCAGCCCGGCCAGCTTGGCGTCTCACTGACGTCCTCCTTCCCGCAGACGCGTGCTCCCCCAGGGACAAAGAGGCACCCTGACACCTCCGGATACCACCTCGGCCCTCGCCAGGTGGGGCAGGGCGACTCCTCCGGGTTCTCTGGGCCCTGCAGAGTGGCCGCCTCTCTCCCTCCCCTGCAGCTCGAATTCTGCACGTGTAGACCCCCTCCCCCCAGTTCCGCCTCAGCTGGGACGTCACCTCTCCCGGGAAGTCCCCCTAGTGTCTTAGGGCTGCCACAACAAAGTCCCACAAACTAGGTGGCTTAGAACAGGGACTGTCCCCCCACAGCTCTGGGGGCCAAAAGTCCAAATCCAGGTGTGCACAGGGTGGTGTCCTCTGGAGACTCTCGGGAGAGTCCGCCCCAGGCCCCTCCAGCTTCTGGGGGTGCCACAGTCCTGGCGCCTCTCGGCATGTAGAGGCATCACCCCAGTCTCTGCCGCTGTCGTCACACGGCCACCTCCCCACCGTGGGCCTGTGTCCGAATCTCCCTGGTGCTGTGAGGGCACCGGTCTTTGGATGCAGGCTCACACTGAACCCAGGATGATCCATCTCCAGATCCTTCGCTAACGGTCTCTGCAAAACCCTTATTTTCAAACACGGTCCCATCTGGAGGTTCTAGGTGGACGTGAAGTTTTGGGGACACTATTCGATCCACTACACCCTGTGTCCCCAGAGCCTGGACCCACGTCCCAGAGCACGGACCCTACTTTGGGGTTGCCCGGTCCTCGTTCTCTCCTGGAGGGCCGCGAGAGGCAGACCCACAACCTTCTTGTTCAGTGCCCGTCACGGGCCCAGACGCAGGTCCTGGGGAGACCTCCCCAGACCAGGCACCAGGGAAACGCTGGGTGGCTCACCCAGGCTCGTTGCTAAGAACGTGGCACCTACGAAAAACCATGGACAAGAGCTGAGACCCCAAGGTCCCCCAGCCTCCGGAGGGACCCTGCGAGGAGAGATGTTCCTGGGGTCCCCTTGGGGGTGGGCCTTTCCTCAGTTTTGCAGCCTGTTCCCTGTCCCGGCACTCGCATTTCCTGCGTCTTTGCGCTTTTCCATGAGCTTTGGGTCAGCGCCCGGCGTCCTTCTGTCTGCTGTTTGCCGCGGCACACGGGACATCGGGGCTGCTGAGTTTCCCATCACACACCTGGTGGTTTGGGACACACGGCGGGTCACTGCCAAATCAGCCCCCAGAAGGTTCTATCGGCAGAAAGTGTGAGCCCCGCCTTCCTGCCCCCGCCCCCTGCCAATTTCTCCGGTGACCATAGCGGCTGTGGGTTTTGTGGTTTAGTGGTCATCCCGGGGCTTCCTTGCCACGCTGCCCTCTTCACCGAGGGCAGAGGCTGGTGTTCCTTGCCACTGAGTGGCAGGCGGGGGCAGTGGTGGGTGGGTGTGTCCACGTTAGCAGAAGTGGCAGAATCAGCTCTCCCTGCCCTTGGGCGGCGGCAGGGCATCTGTCGGGGAGCGGGTGGATGGAGCAGCCATGCCTTCCCCGTGCAGGTGAGCCCGGGCAGCAGGCCTCGCCGCCCCAGGAGCCCAGACCCACAGCTCTGGGGGGACCACCGTGGCCGCTCCTCCGCCCGCCAGCCCTGCCCCCACGGACCCCTCCTCCTTCTCCTTCTCAATAAACAGATTCTGCAGCCCGATGGCTTCTTGCCTCTTTGGAGACGCCCCGGGGAGGGCGCAGTGGGCCCCATGCTGACCCTAGCACTCCTGGAGAATGAGGCAGGGGGGCTGCAGCCAACCTCGGCAGTGTGGGGGCTGCACCCCCAGGCAGAACCCAGCTTCCAGGCCCAGCCCGACAGGTTCATAGTGAAGACGGGCCCCGTGGCTCCGCTGGGCACGCACAGGCCCGGCCGCAGGAGGCCTGCAGTCCGGCTGGTGTGGGTTTTGCCTCCCACCACTGCTGTGATCGTGGGCACTTCATTCAAGCCCCAGAAGTGGACTCCTGGCCCCTGCCCCTCGGCCAGGGGCTCCCTAGCAGACAACCTGGGCACACGTAGTGACCTCGCTGAGCTCCTTGTTTCAGAGATCAGGTAGGTGAGACCGGGGAGGGACTCACCCCAGCTTACACGGCCATCGAGCAGCCGGCTGGAGCTCTGCGCTGCTCCCCAGACTGGGGCACGGGAGAGGCCATCCTCGGGGGCCTGTCCCCACTGTCGTCCTCGTCCCTGGCGCTGTGCCCTGGGTCCTGATGGGAGCTCCGAGGCCCTGCACGTCTGGCACACACTTCACAGGGCGGCGTGGGGTGGGGCAGGAAGGTGCTGGAGGTTCTGGTCCGATGCTCATGAGTGCTCGCGGCCCGCGCAGGGCAGGGGAGGAAGCAATTGTCCCTGAGGCCATCTGCCCTTACCCTGCCCCAGGTCTCCAGCAGCCTCTGCCTCCCTCTTTTGCCTGGAGCCACCGTGGTGCCCACACCTTAGCCCCCGGCTGTCCCTGCACGGCTCCTGCCCTCTGGGTGGTCCCTCTGGGCCTCCGGCCAGCTGTGAGCCGCCCAGCCCTGACTTGTCCCTGCACTGCCTGACCGCCCATCTGGGCTCCAAGCTGGCCCGGGCCGCCTGGGGAGTGGGTTCTGGTGACTGGGACTGACCGTTTAGCTGGCCAGGCCTTGCGCCATTCCAGGTGGCTTTTCCAGTCCCAGAGGTGGGACAGCAGTCCCCCACACACCGGGCTGTGGATGCTGGTCCAGGAGGAGCTGCCTCAGGCACCCCCGGACCCCTGGGCCACGTGGCACCTGCCCCTCTGCTAGGAGCTGGAGCTCGGACCCCAGGGAGGCTGTGGCCCCCGTGGCGCCAGCACCAGAGCCTGCCGCGTCCCCCCGGCCCGCTGCAGCAGGGTGTCCCGGATGGGGTGCTCTGCCACCACCCTTGGCCTCTCCCCTTTATTTGAGGGCCCGGGAGGAGGGAGTGGGAACGAGAGGTGGAAGGTAGATTTTGTTTATTTTTTAGCTCATTTCTGGAGGGCGGGAGTTTTTTTTATTTTGTTTTTTTGTAAGTATGTGTCACAAATAAAGTTGTTTTTGAAAATAAAAATTGTCACTCAAAAAAGTCCTCTCTGTGGCCTGAGAGAAGCTGGACACAGGGGTCGAGGCCGGCAGGGGCCGGCCCTGGGGGTGCAAGGAGTCGCTGGGGGAATGTCTGGGCGAGACATGCCACCTGGGACGTCACGCAGGGGCTGTTTTTGCTTAATGTCTGCGGCCGCCGTTACAGATGGGGAAACTGAGGCCGACCGCTGTCTTGGGCCACACGGCTGGAGGCAGGAGCAGGGGTGGGTCTGGAAGCCGGGCTCTGCATCGCCCCGACATATTCTGGTTCCCTGCGTGGTCCGTCGTGAGGAGGAAGAGGCTCAAACCCCAGGGGAGAGGCTGAGGTGGTGCCACCCCCCGATTCTGTTTCCCACTGGGCCCCACAAGTCACGCAGCCGTCCCTGGCGCAGCGCAGAATACGTTGCTGGTGGGGGGGTCTGAAGCACAGATGGGGGTCTTAGGCCAAGCACCTAAGGGATCGGGCCTGGGTTCAAGTCCCACCTCGTGCTCATTGGCTGCAGACCGTGGGCATGACGTGGCCGAGCCAGGCCCCGCAAGGCTTAGAGCGTTCGTGCTGCTGTCCCCAGACTGACCAGAAAGAACCCACAGAACCCACAAGTGTCCTGTGAGGAGGAGGCCGCCCAGCCTGGCGTGGGTGGGGCCGCGCCTGTTCCCAGGCCCCCCGACAGCCCCACGACCGCATCCACCCGCGTCCACGCGCCAGGAAGGCGGCCGCCAGCGGCTGCTGTCCAGCGTGGGTGTGGTGCCGCCGGGCTGGATGGCGCTTGTGCGGAGACACCCAGAGTCTCTGAGCAGCAGGCAGCCAAGTTTGCCCAACGACAGTCCCTGGAGATTGCACACGCTCGCGCTGTCTCTCCAAATAAAAGCCCAGGTGCTGCGGGAGCGGAGCTGCCCGCGAGCCCAGACCCTGCCATGGAGGCCCGGCTGCTGAGCGCTGTCCTGGGCATCTTCCTGGTGTTCCGGGCACAGGTGGAGGCGGCCATGGTGGACCTAGACCGGCAGAAGGTGGCCTTTCCTTCTCAGCACGAAGGCAAACGCTGGGGCTGGAGAGGGGCTGGGTGGGCAAGGAGGGCCCCAGAGAGTGTCCGGCTGCTGCAGGCCACCCTGTCCCCATCCTGCCGCCCTGTCTTGGCCACCCATGAAGCCAGGCAGCTGAGGGTCCTGGTCGTGGGCTCAAGCTCGGCCGGCCTGGTCCCTCCTCTCCTGGGGTATGAGGGCCTCCCTGGGGGTCCTCTGCAGGCAGGGCTGTGCCCAGCCAGGCTGGGCGGTCCTGGGGTTTTTCAGGGTGTGGGGCTCCTCCTACACCCCTGGCTCTGCACGCTCCGGGAGCCAGAGGCCCTTCCTGGCGTGGAGGGTTGGCGGGGGTGCTGGTGTCTGTCCAATGTTTTCCACCGCGTTTCCTTCCTCACCGCGTCCGTGCAGGCTGCTGGCCTGGGCACACCTGAGCAGGCCCAGAGATAACCCATGTCGGAGACGCAGATTCTTTTCTCTTGTAAAAATAATCAGTTTCCAAACGTTTCAGAGGAAGGTCTGGGCTCGGGGAGGATTGCTGAGGGCAGGACGTGCTATTCCCACGGGGCCAAGGCTCTGACAGCCGCTCGCTCTGCTCTGCTCTCCAGGCCCGACCACTGCTGCCCGCTGGCGCCTGCCCGGGCGAGCCCTGCAGCAGCTGCAGGTGGCCTCGTGGGAGGGGTCTGCCTGCGGGGCCTCGCCGTCTGACAGCCTGGGGGACCCTCAGCAGGATGGCTTGTGGGGACAAGTGGGCTCACAGGCGCCTTGCGGTCTTGTCACCGTGTCTCGTGGCCATCCGCTGACCTCTGAGTGCCCCCGGCTCCCTTCCTGGGGTCTGAGAAATGCCCCCTGGTGGGGGGGTTCAGTCCAGCCGCTCAGAGCTGGGCACGGCTCTGGCTTTCTCTCCAGTTTGTAGGGTTCTGGCGGGAAGTCGGTGTGGCCTCGGACCAAAACCTGGCACTGAAGGGCCCGAGGAGGGTGGAGGGCTTGTTCCTCACTGTGAGCGGGAGTAACCTGACCGTGAAGGCCGCGTATAACAAGTAAGAGGCCTGGGCCCTGCGGGGAGGAAGAGGCATGCGCGGCTGCAGCCCAGACGCCGCGGTGGGACCTGGGCTGCACGTGTTACCTGGGTGGACCAGCCCTTCCCGTGCCCACCTGCCTGGGACCTCAACCCCAGGGAAAGCCAGAACCCTGGGCTCCCGGACCTACATTTTCAAACATAATTTATAAGGAAGGAAAATGGGCACGGGGCAGGTGGCTCGCCGGAGGTGACAGAGCTGCAAGGGGACAGGCTGGTGCAGCCCCTGCCCTGCACCGTCCCTGCCTGGTCCTGCTCCAGACTCTGGGGTGCTCCAGGGGCTACCTGAGCCCTTCCTGAAGACACGCCCCCGCTCTGGGAATGTGCCCGACAGATGGGACACAGACTGCCATTTTCCCAATGAGCACTTTGCTGCCTTTCAGCTCAGGAAGCTGTGAGACAGAAAAAATAGTGGGCTCAGAAATAGACATTTCAGGGAAATTTGCTTTTCCAGGTAAGTGCTGTTGCCCTGTTGCTACAGTTACAACTCCAGTCACACTCAAGAGCTTCACTAGGCCTTGCTGCTCCCTTGCTGTTCCCCTGCTGTTCCCTGTGCTGTTCCCCACTCTGTTCCCCTTGCTGTTCTCTATGCTGTTCCCCTTGCTGTTGCCTGTGCTGTTCCCCATGCTGTTCCCCATCTGTTCCCCTTGCTGTTCTCCATGCTGTTCCCCTTGCTGTTGCCTGTGCTGTTCCCCATGCTGTTCCCCATTCTGTTCCCCTTGCTGTTCTCCTTGGTGTTCCCCATGCTGTTCCCCTGGCTGTTCCCCTGGCTGTTCCCCTTGCTGTTCCCTGTACCTCGTGCTCCACACCCTCCCATTCTCTTTACAACATGCTGGGTCATCCTTCAATGGCTGCTCTGGTGTCCCCAACCAGGGCACCATGGCAGGGCCTGGGCATGGGGTGGGGGCAGGATGGAGCTGGACCCTGCAGACCCTGGCCTCCGAGGTCCACCCCCTCGGGCGCCTGGATCTGCAGAAGTTCTCCCCGCCAACCCCGCGCCGGCTCCCGAAGGCCACAGGGAGATCCACGTGCTGGACACGGACTACGAGGGCTACGCGATCCTGAGGGTGTCCTTGCGCTGGCAGGGCAGGGACTTCCACGTGTTCAAGTACTTCAGTAAGCTCCGCGCGGGGGTCTGCCCTGCCGCTGTCCTCCCGGGGACGGCCCACCCAGCCCCTGTGCCCCACAGCTAGGAGCCTGGAGGACGATGACCCGCCGGGATTCTGGAGGTTCCGAGAGTTGACAGCGGACACCGGCCTCTACCTGGCGGCCCGGCACGGTGAGACCAGGGGCCACTGGGGTGGCTGCTGCCGTAGGTGGGGGGGTGTCGGGTCGCGCCAGCCCCTCACCCGCCCTGTCCCGCAGGGGGGTGCGCCAAGCTCCTGAAGCAGGTAAGCCGTGCCCCTCGGCACCCGGCTGGCTCCACGCCCCGGCTGGGGTGGGGGGGCCCGTTTGCCGCTTGCTCTGAACGGGACGCCCCCCGGCACTGATGGGCGACTCCAGAGATGGAGCTGGAGCCTCCAGGGTGGTGGTCGCCGGCAGCAACGCTGGGTGCTGGGGATGTGGAGGGCGGAGCTGGGCAGGGGAAGGGATGGCCCCTTGTCCCCAACTTTCTGTCCAGCAGAGCCACACTGGGCTGCGGCTGACTCCGTACCTTCAGAGTCTGCCTGAGGGCGGGTGGGGCCAGGTGGGTGCCATCTCGGGGCCCCAAGTCCGGCGCTGTGCTGGCCCGTCACCTGCACCCGGCCCCCAGAGGCTGGGACTGTTACCCCACTGTGAGACAGAGGAGCTGCGGCTCAGGGAGCTGGGCGCTCTGCCCAGAGCCAGGTGGCTGGACGCCAGCCCCGTCACTCGGCCTCACCACTGCCCCACAGGCCCCCAGGGGCCGAGCGGGCCTGAGCCTGCCCTCTCCGCCACAGGAGCTGATTTAGCGGAGCTGCTGCCAAGGGCCGGGCCCAAGTCCCCCCGCCCGGCCTCTGCCGGCCCCGCCTGAGGGGCTCCTGCACCTGCTCTGAATAAACTGTGCTGTTGAAGCCACTGCCCGCATGTCCTTCCTGGGGGATGGGCCGAGGGTGGGTGGTTCACAAAGTGAGGCTTAGGGTTGTGGGCACCAACCCAAGTCCCCGGCGACTGCCTGGAGCGCCCTCCCTGGTCAAGGAAGAGAGGTCACTCTCGCTGGGTGTCCCCGTGTGCACCTGGGTGTCGGAGCCGGGCCCAGTGAGGGGCTCTGGTGGGAGGCAGGTGGGTGGGCTTCCCTGGCCCACCTGGGTCTGGCTTCTCAGTGTCAGGTTTGGGGTGTTCCCACCGGGCTGGGGGCGTCTCTGCCTTTCCCATCTGGCTCCCTGGGAGCCCCAAGATTGAGTGGGGCATTTTGTGAGTGAACTTCACTGCGGGGACTCGGCGGGGATGTCCCTGGAACAGGGCGGGTTTGGGGGACAGTGTTCGGCCCAAGAAGAAGTTGTTGGCTGGTGGCAGCCCCAGCAGGAGGGCTGTGACCAGAGTCGGTGTGCCCGTCACCCCAGGCACGGTGTCCTAGCGCAGCCTGTGCTGGCGTGAACCCGCTGCCTGTGAGTCTGTCCCCGGGGGAGCTGAGGGCTGACAGGCGGGGGCTTGTCCGCCCCGGTGCAGCAGCAGGTGGTGGGATCTCCATGATGACTCTCCAAAGCTGTGCTCGCACGCAGGGCAGCCTTGCCCTCCCCTTCCCTGTGCAGAGGGCGTCCCATGGCTGGGATGATGCTGGAAGCTGGACCCCCCAGGCCCAGAACGTAGCAAGGTGTTGGGCCTGGCTGGGGTGGACTCTGCTCCTGGGTACGGGGATAAGGCCCGTCCAAGAGGGCTGTGCTGAGCACTCAGTGAGGGAGGAGGGTGGTCGGTGCTCCACACGGCAGGAAGTAGACAGTGAGCAGGAGCAGCTCACGGATGGTCCTTGAGGTCAAGCAGTGCTCGGGGGGGGTGGGTGGCCCATCACCGTGGAGAGACCTTGTTGACCCTCAGGCATTGGCTGGGACCAGAAGGTCCCTACTAGGGCCAAAGACTACACCCTAGACTCACCTGAGCTGAACTGAGCCCTGAAAGACCCACGGGAGAGACATTTCAAAGCAGGTGAGGGGTGCTTGGGGCCACCTGTGACTTTCCCCAGACCTGCCTGGCCAGAGCGTCGGCGAGTTCAAGGAGCTTGGCCTGTGATCGGACTTCCTGCTGGGATGTCCTAGGCTGCCGGGGCTGGCTGAGTGAGGTCCCACCGGCTCGGTGGCTCAGAGAATAGAAATTTATTTTCTCAAATTTCTGGAGGTTGGGGGTCGAGATTAAGGTGCTGGGAAATTCAGTTTCTGAAGTCTCTGCCTGGCTTAGGGGTGGTGGCCTTCCTGTGGTGTCCTCACAGGGCTGAGACTCATCTCTGGCGTCTCTTCCTCTTCTTATAAGGAATTAGGGCCACGCCCTTGTGACTTCATGTCACCTTCGTTACCTCCTAAGGGCTCTGTCTCCCGCAACAGTGACACTGGGAGTTAGGGCTTCAACATATGAATCTTGAGAGGACACGATTCAGTCTGTAACAAAAGTCCACATGACTCAGAGGGTGAGAACGGCACGCGGGTCTCTACCGCGCATCATCGACAATGTCCTGCGAAGTTACTAGATATCCAGAGAAACAGAAAAATATGACCTATGGTTGAAAAAAAAAGTTACTGAAAACAGATTCTGAGAAGACCTAAAGTTGGATTTCAAAGACAAAAGTCTAAAGCAGCCATTATAAGTAGTTAAAAGGAAAAAAACCTAAGAATTAATTAATGACATGATAGAATTAAAATATTAATTAATGAATGAAGAAAGAACAAATGAGTGAACAGATAGAGAGATCAGATAGGAAAAATCAGCAGAGAAATGGAAACTATCAAAAAGAACAAAATGAGTCTGTAATCCCAGCACTTTGGGAGGCTGAGGCCGGAGGACTGCTCGAGCCCAGGAGTTTGAGGTCACCGTGAGCTGTGATTGCGCCACTGCACTCCAGCCTGCGGGACAGAGCAAGACCCTGTCTCAAAAGAAAACAAACAAAACACGTGAAACAACAACAACGAGAAAGAAAATTATAGAATTGGAAAGTACAATAAATGAAAGAAAAATTTACTGGGTGGACTTAATTGGAGTCGGCAAAAGAAAGTGTCCATGGACTGAGCACAAAGCGATGTAAGTTGCCCGGTTCGAGGAAGAGAGGAGGGCGTGACTGACAGCACCTTGAGATCTGGGGGCCAGATCAAGCCTGTAACACAGTCCCAGAAAGAGAAGAGAATGAGAATTGGGCAGAAAAATTATTTGAAGAAATAGTGGCCAAAATATCCCAGAACTTGATGGAAAACATCATCTTAGAGACCCTGTAAGTTCAGAGAAACCTAAGCAGGATAAAATAAAGAAAAAAGCCTCACAAAAGCAACAGCCAGGGACACTGTAGTCAAAGTCCTGCAAACCGTGATTTGCAGAAAATTTCACAGGAGCTGTGGATAAAAGACAGGTCATGACAGGGTCACGACTTCTCACAGCAAACAGTGGAAGCCAGGGGACGGTGGAAGTGGGTCTCCGCTGAAAGGGAACAAATCAACCTAGAGTTCTGTGCCCAGGGAAAACATCCTTCAAATATGAGGGTGAAATGAAGATATTCCGAGACAAAAGAAAGCTAAGAGGACCTATGTCTAGCGCATCTTCCGTACAACAAGTAAGTGCAGGCAGGACAGCTGTGTGCCAGGGTGGGACCGCCTGGGTCCTGTGGGAACACGCTTCTCCTTTCCTCTGTTTACTCGTTTGTCCGCACCAGCGTGGACACAGGGCCCTTACTTCCTCCCGTGGGCTACAGTCTGTCACTGTTGTTTATTCTGATGCTCAGATCCTCCAGTGGGAGCGCCTTTGAGACGGTCTCAGAGTATCGTCGATCGACACATCCCCACGGTGCCTTGCGCACATTTTTGCTTCTGGTACCAAAAACATTCCAAGTTCCTCTTACGTTTTTTGTGACACAGGCTTGGAATGATTTCTCCGAGGAGTCCTGGTTCCTTTTGTATAGAATCGTGTTTAGCAACCAAGATCTGAGTGCTTGGTGTGCTCAGTTTTACTCTCGCTGGGGTGCGCTTGCATCTCAACCTTCTCGGCAGGCGGAGCGCGGACACCCCCTTCCTTCCTCTAGTCCACTCTTTCCCTGTGTCTGCCGCCAAAATCAGAGGTCACGTGGTTGCTTCCACTGCGGCCAGCACCGTGGGTTCATCCTGCTCTCTCCTCTCTCCACACTTCTATATTTATAACTCTTTTGCAACACTGGAAAGCCCATTCCCCTCCACATATTCACTCGCCTGATCTGTCCTGGAGCAGGTGGAAATAGCTTCAGAATTGCTCCTCCAAGCACTGGGAAAAACAAAGCTGCTAACTGGAACTCAATATTTTACGGCTCCTTCAGTCTTTTTTTTTTTTTTTTTTTTTTGAGACAGAGTCTCACTGTGTTGCCCGGGCTAGAGTGCCGTGGCGTCAGCCCAGCTCACAGCAACCTCACACTCCTGGGCTCAGGCGATCCTTCTGCCTCAGCCTCCCGAGTAGCTGGGACTACAGGCATATGCCACCACGCCCGGCTAATTTTTTCTATATATTTTTAGTTGTCCGATTAATTTCTTTCTAATTTTTTAGTAGAGACGGGGTCTCGCTCTTGCTCAGGCTGGTTTCGAACTCCTGAGCTCAAACGATCCGCCCGCCTCGGCCTCCCAGAGAGCTTGGATTACAGGCGTGAGCCACTGTCCCCGGCCAGCTCCTTCAGTCTTTAGCTTGAGAATACAGAGCAAAAAATACTCTGTTCAAAATCTACTCAGGGTAGCTCTTTCTTCCTTCAGCGTGGCTATGGCATTTACTTACACTACAATTGTATTGCGTTTTAGGGATTCGCGCATTTTATTTTCGAGTGTTCTACACCAATTCCAAAGTCAAGCTGTACGTTCCAGCTCACCCTGCGTGGGGAACTAGGCTCCTTAGACTCCGATTCCTCCTTCTTGTGTTTCTTTTTGCAGAAATAAACAGGCACGTGTGTACTCTTTAAAATTTCCCTTCTGTCTTACCGGCCAGGTTGTGTACTTGACATGCCGTTTGGCACGTTGCTTCCCCGCTTTGCAGCGCAGCCTGACCCTGCACCTCGGTTCCCAGAGACCGTCCCTGTGGTTTCACAGCCACACAGGGCTCGACCGTGGACGCGACGTCTTATCTGCGTGTGGGCGTTTACGCGGCTTCCAGTGGTTTTCAGTTGCGAACGACGCTTCCACGAACAGCTCTGTGCGTGCGTGGGCTTCTTTGTTCGTTCTGTATTGTTGCAGTTATTTTTTTAGGATGAATTCCCGGCAGTGGCGTCGCTGCATCAAAAGGTAAACGGACATGGAGTTTCGTTAGATATTGCCAAATTCCCCTCTAAAATGACTGTTCCAATTTGCAGTCTGACGGCGACGTATGAATGTGGACGACGGACTGTGTGGCTGAGCTCTTTAAGTCCCGGCGCTACGGCGGGTGGTACGTGGCATCTTGGCGTTGTTCTAACTTGAGTTTCTCTTGTGTGAAATACAGCACTGTTGTGTTACAGACGGCCCCTGAACCGCATGGGCTCGAGCCGCCGGGTCCACTTATCCTTGGATTTTCTCCTCCTCTGAGACAGCAAGACCAGCCCCTCCTCCTCCTCCTCCTCCGCCTACTCAACGTGGGGACCGTGAGGACGAGGACCTTTGTGACGAGCCACTTCCGCTTAATGAAGAGTAAATACATTTTTTCTCTTCCTTATGATTCCCTTAGTAGCATTTTCTTTTCTCTGGCTTACTTTATTGTAAGAATACAGTGCCTCACACAGACAACGTACAAGATACGTGTCAGTTGACTGTTACCGGGGAGGTTTCTGGCCAACAGTGGGCTGTCAGTACAG